ACTGCGCAACGGATTTTGATGCGGTTTTTTTTTCGAAGATAGGGTGATTCAAAAGTCAAAATAAGGTTTTATATAATACCTTAACCGTGGGAGAGCGACGCTTCGGCATAAATGGGCCGGCTCGCCCGGAGTGATACCACGGCCTCACAGAAAACCGACGTGAAGCAACGCTTGCGCTGTGTTTCGTCGTGTGAGTGAGGGTACCGGAGGCCCAACTCCTCCCTATTCCCTTCCCTCTATCCCTCAACCCTTCACTCCAAGGCCGGCAGCGCGCTTGTAGCCCCTCTGGTGTTGCAGGTGTCCATGGGCGACGGTAATCACTTACCATCAGGTGATCCGTCTGCTCGTCTGCCGCCTATCCCATAAAAAAAATACCTTCCTTTCCAATATAATACAAGACCACGCGGGCGAAGCCGCTGGTGGAAAGCCAGTAGAAAATAAACGAGAAATAACTTAGATAATAGACATTAAAGTTGAGGAGTGGGGGCTCGCTACGTCACAGTTTTGTAGAAAATGTACAAAAGCGTTACGTCATGTGATATTTTAATTCAATGTATCGCCGTCATTTAATGATTTAAAAATAACTGTATAATATTATTCAATCTGATGGACAAACAAAAAAAATTTTGGTTTGTCAATATAATTGCTATTAGTCAATATAAATGTAAAATATGTAATGTTCTTTACGCGTCTTACGCCTATTTTCACTAACTTAAAACGAGGTATAACTATAAGACGCCTAATATTGAGAATCACTTAGCAGATTTGTTTTATTAGAAATAAATAAATTATTTTCATTCCCTGTCTGGGCACATCTGTGATCTGTCACATAACGCATTCTCCTAGCATATGGCGCTCGCATAATAATAATAATATTGTTTTACTGAAAGCAAAGGAGACCTAATAATATATAATATCAACTATAATTAACATTATTACGTTGAGGTAATTTAAGTTCAATTATTTATTTGTGATTTCCACTCTGGTGCACCGAAATCCAGTGCTCGAATACAGGGCTATTTGAACTCTCTACGACTCCTTTAATTATGACATTACAGAAATTATTCATTTTACCAGAATGAAGCGATGCGCCTTCTTATAACAGCGAATCAGCTATGCGAGCTTCAGCAAACATACTTGACGCACTACAGTATAATGGCTATCTCATAAGGATACGTAATTATATTGAACCTCATAGATAAATAAGAGGCACGACTGCAATTTACCCACAGCTGACAAGTATAGATTGACATTACATTTGCCAAACTTCCGAGCGAGCATGTTACATCTAACTGATAGCGATCGTGTCTCACGTTCAATATCTAGGTAACCGTCATGTTTTAATTCGCTCACAACCCGAAGCGCCACACCATTCAATAATACGTCTGGTATATTATCCGAATCCTTCTCTGCCTTGAAAACCAAAATCTCTGTTTTTGATATATAATAAGTAATAACCCGTGCGAAACAGCATATAGCTCACAGACTGAGGCAAGCCTACCAGGGGCGTATCTGCCGTATCAATTATACAGGGGCCTCCAAAAATTAATAAAAACTTTCCAAATTTATTTTTATTTCAAATGACAAAAGTAAAAAAAAAATTGCTCCCTTTAAGTCATTTAATTCAACGGGGGAATTCAATAATAATTATGTATAAACGATTAAAACTTGGACAGCTTATACATTTTTTTTTCTTTATGAGAAATCTTTAGCCTTCATAAGGGCCCCCAAACAAATTTTTATACGGGGTGCAACCAAGGAGCGCTACTCCACTGAAGCCTATGGAGACGTTTAATCCAGAGAGCCAGCAAACACCATATCGTTATAATAACTGAGACTATTGACACATCTACCACCAATATGGCAGTCGACACCGGTAGCCCTTAGCTTTCCGATTGGTTAAAAAGATCCGGAGATATCATCCCTCCCTGACGAACATCGCTTTCCAGTTGCCAGATGACGCGTCGTCGCCCCAACTCACATAATTTGTCTGTCCACAAATATCAGTAACCGAACAGATCCACTACTTCTTAAGGCGCACCATTGCCGCGCAGTTTTGTCCAGAGAATATCATAAGCATGTTTATAGACTTTGTTTTTTTTCGTACATTATAATTAACAGCATTTTTCAAGCAGAATATAGCTGAATCCATCGAGAGAACGGGACGGAAACCAAACTGCTCATCGTCAATCTGAATGTTCTTCGATACGTCAGGCTGTAAATTTTTCAAATACCTTACTAATAATTGTACCCACGTATATTGGTCGGTAGTTACTCGCTGACCCCAGGTCACCCGTCTTGTTTTAGGAGACGGGTACCATAACTATTTTATTTAAGACGAGTATTGAAAAGTTTTGCCAGCTTAGAACAGATGTGATGCATGTCATAAATGCCTAAACATTTAAATATTTTTATTGAACACACACACAAATATTGGACTAGCATAACCATACATAAGGAATGCCTGAGCCCCTGCAGTGGGGACGTAATAGGATTGATGATGGTGATGTAACATTATATATATTTGGATTTGTGGTGCCTATATTAGAACTAGAGAAATATACTTTTATTTTACTGTTGAAATACATCATAGAGTCTAAGTATCGTTTAAGGGATGAAATACAAAATGATATCTATTCCAGAGAGGCTTTTAAAGTTCCAAGTAGTACTTCTTCTAAAATATCTGCAATTCAGAAGTCTGATGATTATTTTGATACATATTTACTTACTCGCCATTGATGTATCAAAACACTTATTTAAGTTTATAAGAAATTTTACATTGGGTAGCCTCCAGGTCTGGATCTACGATTTTTTTAACCGGGGGAGAAACTTCTTCTTCTCCTTCTTTTGATTTTATTTTATGAAATTTTTAAAGTTTTTACTTCTTACACGACTTCTCTCACGTGGTCCTATGTTTTATATTTAGACGTTTCTCTTAACTCACTCTGTCTATTGATGAAAACCGCATTAAAATCTGTTTTGTAGCTTAAAAGCTACAATTATCAGCGTACGGACAATATCGAGTATAACCCCAACCTAAGTTATGGTTGTTCAAAAACTAGGGAGCGTATGTCCAGAAAAGTTAGGTAATGAGCCCCTGCGCTATGTTTAAGTCATCTTAGCGGATCACGATCGTGGCCCCAGATTTTTTTAATTACATAAGACTATGGAATAACGTTAAATCAATCCCGAACGTTCTTTTTTTATTTAGACACAGATACTACAGAACTTCTATGTTATACGTCAACTAGTGTACGAGTAACAGAAATAAATAACAAAAAAGTAGGTGTTCTATTTTTAATTTATCTAAGTATTATTTAAAACAGTATTAAAAATATAAAATGTAACTGTAATATAAGTAAAAAATTATAGTGTCATTGTGGGCATGCTAGCTAACACACTATGGGCGCTTGTGCACTACACTGAATTTTCAGGTCCGGCGGTCCGATTTTTTCCGGTCCGGAATGACAGGAAAAACTCGGATGAGTAGCTTGTGCACTTGTCCGTTTTTTTCCTGATCGGAGCAGCGCAGTATAGGGCAGCTCTCTTTGAAGCTACACGTCACTTACGCTAGGTACGATGAGATTTTTGGAACGTTAATAATTGCGTTCGAAGACGTAAAAAGGTACCTAAATAATGACCTGATCATTTTATATAAACCATAATAAATTATGGCAAGACGAAAGCATTTTTTTACTACTATCGGATGACTACTATCAGATGTAAAAACTTATACCTTTACAAATTTAGAAACAACATTATTCACATACAATAGCTAAAAATATCTGTGGCATTAAAATAAAATTACTGATAATGGGATAGTACTTGATGTTGAAATTTATAAACGTGCTATTTATTTCGAAGTTTTGTAAAAACAACTTTCAGAGATAGACCAATCAGTGGCGCCATTTCGTAAACAAATCGAAATTAGTGCCGTGTAAGCGGAGAATTATTATGCTAAATGAACTTTACGAGATCAGTTGACTGTATTATATATAGGCATAATTTTATACGCATGGTGTAGTTTCTTTGAGCAGAAATATTTTTCCCATAGAATACTTCTTTTCTTTTAAATTTATTAATGACACAACTATTCACTTCAAATTTTATTAAATGCGAAAAAGACATTGAGTGTCACTTAATTACTTCTGTTTATTCTTTATTATTACATCTGTTGTCAAACATCTATCTATATTTATCAATTGTCGAAAATAAATTTGATAATGACAAATTTCCAGGCAAACTTTCATCCCCTATTTTTCGCGATAAAATGTAGCCTATGTCCTTTCTTAAAGTTAAGTCTAAGTACTATATTAATTTCTATTAAAATGGGTTCAGTTGTTTAGGCGTCTAAGCGTAACAACACTTATTTATCTTACCTTAAGCTATCGATACTTTTAATACGATTCTAAAATCTAGCTAAGTATCGATACTAGAACCATACGCTGATCAAATTAGAACTATACTGAGTTTGACAAAACACGTGCAATGATATATAACAACTATATTAAATCATCATATAAAATATAGCATTTTATAATAAATATCGATTATAAGTTTATTGGAAATTAACAATATCGCCGAAATAAATATCGATTCAAATCGATTATATTTTCCCAAGCATATTCCTTATGAATTTTCCGGATCTCGGACACAGCAGTGCACAAGCGTAAACACGTTTTTCATTGCCGCCATCACGGATCTGAAAAAGCCGGTCCGGAATAGAGAAAAGTAAAATTCCGGACGGTAAAATTCCTGACAGTGCACAAGCGCGCATTACCTACATATGGCCTGACATATCGGACCTGAAAAAATCGGACCGCCGGACATGAAAATTCAGTGTAGTGCACAAGCGCCCTATAGGTATATTAATAGTAATGTACCTAGTTATTACAAATTTTGTAACAATTATTGCGAATTTCTATCACGATGGAAATATTATACGTGATTTAATAATGCGTCTCTTTCATCAGTCTTATCATCAAGGTATTGGGGAAAAGAAATTCCACGGTTTAATCAAATTTAATAAAATCGATACTTTAATCAATTTTGACATAATTCCCAAAGGGCGTGCTGATTGTTTGCGGTCCACTCGAGTATCCAACATAAGGATTTATCACCATACTGATGTCTTTCTCGGGCTGTGCTTCGTTTCTGTTCCATGAAGCTGAAATTATAAATACTTTAGTAGCGCCATCTAGTGACGAGCAGCTGAACCAAAACATACAACATATATTTTAAATATGACTATTGAAACAAGTTTTAATAAGAAAATGAAACTGGTATTATATAATTTGTAGCTAATGTAAAAATATGAAAGAGCTAGTTTCTTAAATAGTTAAAAAAGTAGTGCATTCATAATATTAAAAAAAATTGCAAAGGAATATAGTGACATCTATTAGTCATAACAATCTTTACGTTTTAGCAATATAGCATTACTTTGATAATGAACACAAAAGTATACTTTCATTTATTAACTTTCTAGTCGTCGCTAGATGGCAGTTTTAGTCATAAACTAAATGAGAGTAAATTGGGTAATTACTAGCTAAATAATATCAGTCTAAGAAACGTACGTGTTATATGTTCTTCATGAGCAGTTTGATGTCCGCTGTTGTGTATGTGAAGATGAATTTCTTTTTGAAGCGGTTGCTGCTCCCACCCATGTGGTTGATGATGTCCCTTGCTCGCAAAAAGCGCTCCTGCCTGAAAAAAACAATTATAGTAATTAAACTTAATCATGATGAATTGTCTTAAATCTATTGTTTGGATCTCATGGAATGGATCTACTCTATTTTAAGTTGTCTGTATTATTATCAGTTCCTTACATGGTGTATGTATATTTATTATATTTAACGTAATAAATACTGCAATGTAGAGCTTAAAATAAGCGATAGAGTCCCACGTGCCAGTGGCGCCAACTGGTGTTAAAGAAATATACTTATGACATATGTTTGCCAACCAAAACTTATTTATTTTTAGGAATTAGGAGTAGGTTCGGAATTGATATAAGTATAAGAACAAGTAATAAAATGGATGTAGCGTAAGAATTCATAGCTTAATTATTATATTATCTATCTCTATAATAGAAACTTTCCTTTTATTAAATTACCAGCATCGAGAAATAACTTGAACAAGTTATGGGTGAAAACGGGACTGTTGTAACGTATTACACATATACATAGGGACATCGATGTATTTTAGTGAGTATACTCCTGCATTATCACTAGGGCCTTTCAGTGGACTGGTCCGAAAGGGAGATCTCTACATTACCTCACCGACCCGAAAAAATGTGGCCCAGTTACCTAAATAGGGTACTTTTTTCCGTTACAAATTACAAACGCAACACAATTTTCCTAATTTAATTATACTTTCATTTTTTATTTCTTCAATAACACGTTTTGTCTATTATTCATACTAGAATTTTTGAAACAACTTTCTCTTCATGTGGTTTAGAAACCATATTACATACCATAACAAATTTTTTATAGTGTAAACCAAAATTAAAGCCACATATTGCTCTATCTCGCTCTAATCAACGTAACGTAAGATCCTCTTTTCACGTTAGATAGAAAGTGCCTTTCACTAAACTTCCAAATTCACGAGAAAACAATTCAATTATGACCAATTGTTAACTTACTTAACATATTATGTCTACGGTTGTTTATTATAAAAAATGAGGTAAGGTCAAGTACATGTTGTTCTTAATACCCAGACGCTTAATTATCTAATTTAAAAATCTATAGTAATTCTTTTCAATTTGAAATTTAAAAGATATTTACCAACTTCACGCTTCAACTACCTATTCTACAAATTTTTGGTTATTAATAGATATAACGTCTAATTTTTGGTTGTTTATCCGTCAGATAGGTTTTTAAAGAATATTAAACACTTTTTTTGCCTAATCAAAATATTACGGCTCAAATGTCGCATGACGTCACGCTATAGTAAATCTTCTACAAAACTGTGATGTAAAGAGCTCTCATGACTTTATTGACTCTGATCTAAACCATTTCTTATAAAATTGAAGCAAAAATATAAGTTTCTAATGTTTTTCTATTATCTGATTGACAGACTAAATAGAGTTCTATTTTTTAATCCAGTCATAATCCCTATTTTAGTTTATTCCGCCTATGAAAAGGATAAAGGAGGGTATTGCACGGAGGTTATATAAAGCACGGAGTAGATAAAGATATTTTTTTGGTCACCTATATATTTACCGACCAACCCATGCGCAAGTTGCTTAACAACTACGATCACGCGTCCCAGCGCTTATCCACTACGCCAACAAGCTACTTAAATTATCTTTACTTTATATTTAATTTAATGTAAATGTAAAAATACTAATTTTTGTTGAAAAATGTATAACTACCAACTACCTTAGCAGCGCCAGCGACCAGCAGCAGCTTCAGTATGACCAGTGTGACGAATAGCGTCTTGACGCCGACCAGCGCGGCCACCACCGCCCACGTGGACGCCGCGCCTATTTGAAAGATGAGCGGCATCAGCGCACCCATCATTTTCTTCATAAATGGACGCCCGAAAGTTCTACCTGAAAAGGACACAGACGCATTAAAGCTTATGTGCGACAAAGAGAAAATGACAAGTATATAAAATAATATCAGCTTCCTTTTCCAATTAGAATATAATTGGAAAACGAAACTGATATTATTTTATATTTTACTACACACACGGGATTCGAACCTATGAACTTTCGCATCCCAGGGTGCCAGGGACCGAGTGGATTTTTTAAGCATATTTTATTAAAAATATCTAACTTCATGATCACGCTACTAATTTTTTTGCATATTTATAGATAATGGTACAGAACACTTCGCGTCCGATTTGCATTTGACAGGTTTGAATTGTAGATGCGCACAATTTAACATTAACAATATAAAGGTATATAAATACTAAGTACATACGTACCTACCTACTTGAAATACTTAAACTCGCATCTATAGCCGAGAGAAATCATAACTTGAGAAAATTGCACAACTTAAGGAAATATTTTTAACCAATATTCCATACGTAATAATGTTCCAGTAACAGCACATAGCTGGGATTTTTTTAGGACAATGTGTTTTCCTCCTCAATTGTAATTATACTATAATAGATTTTCTCTGTCTATGTCATATAGATGGATTTATTATTATTATTACCTACATGTATTTGAGAAACAGGGCCTATTCTTGGTACATTTATCGTATTTAGAATGCTGTCATTGCCGTCAATATAAAAAGTAAATATACAATATATTTGCTTTGAATATTAACAAGTAATATTGTGTATTTTCGTAAAATATTCCGCGAGGTGAAACACTTAACCTTTTTTTACTGATCAGAGCTAATGTCGAAAGGAATTCGTTCGTAAAAATCGAAAGGTAACATTGAATAATACGCAAATTAACAATGACCTAATTTAAAATGTCAAGAAGATCGACTCATGCATGAGATTATTAAATTTAATTTCCCAATATGATATTGTTTCTTGATTATTTTTAATGCCTAATCGTTGTCACATGTAATACCTTCTTTAAGGAGTTTCCTTGAATGACGCCTGGCACGTATTTTAGGAATTTTCGATCCCCTACTCGTGCTTTAATTTGTGACACTAGCACATAGTTGCATTATTCTATATTTTTGGTTATTCTTCATGTGTCTTATACGTGTTCAGAGTGTATAATATTTTTCCTATTAATTCAATGTATTATGTTAGCATTATTAAAAATACATATATATTAACATCTGCATTTCTTCTCCTCCATTAATACTTTGACTGTGCCAAGAATGGAGTATGAAGAATTGATTAATGAGTTCTGTCCGCGCAGTTTTTGAAAAAATTGGTCCAAAGTTTTCGCTACACGTATTTATATATTGTTATGTTACATGAAATATAATATAAATATAATATAAATAGCTGTTTCCCGACCCCTAGGCTCGCGTAAAATATAGCCTATGTCGCCCGCGTATAATGTAGCTTCCCGTAGTTGAAACAATTTTTAAAATCGCTCCAGTAGTTTCTTTGCCTATTCAATGCAAAAAAAAAAATCTTTCCTCTATAAAAAATTAGTATATATATGTAATAATCTAATCTGGAATTAACGATTTGTCATATTTTAACACAGAAAACTATTGCGGAAGTTCTCAAAAATGTAATTAGGTAATTCCATTCAAACAAAACCAGGCAAACTGTTTGTAATAACTAATAAGTAATAGCGTGATCATGACCGTGATTTTTTTAAATGAAAGTGTTGAGCAATAACGTCGTTCCGGCAGTGGTAATTACCATAATATTGTCGCTAAAGCATTTTAACGAGCGCCATTTCTAAATGCGGAAAATGTCCACTATATTACGGCCGTCAAACAATTATGTGACATTTTTTTTTTCAACGATGGATAAGACAATGATATCGTTAGAAAGTGAAATCGTTAGAAGATGCCGTCACGCTAGCAAAAGTGGTTTGTTAACCGTTTTGTTTGGTCATTCATTATCGAGGTTATCAGCATTTAAGGTTGGATTCAGAACTACGCGTGAGGCGTACCGTACTCATACGTGTTGACGTGAGTTTAATTTCATAGAAAGGCTTTCAATCTTTTATAGTAACGACTCAACTGATTTCCTCTGTGTTTTCCCCTTGAGGAAGGTCTATTCCCCAGCAGTGGTATCAATGCGTTGGGAAAATTAGTTTGAGTATTAAATTGATAGGTACCTACGTTATTTATAATTTAAATAATACTATACCGAAATTAATAAACTTTTTGCATAAAGACATTAAATAAACAATAAAATAAGAATCATTATAAATGTGACACAGTTTTTGCTTAATAAACTTATAGCATAATATAAATTTACTTTATGATAACATAAAATATTATAAAATAAATCACGTTTCTTTCTCTCAATATAATTTTATTATGATGAATAAATAAAATAATAATAAATTTTCTTTCATTTACGAGAGGTAAATGAAAGAAATTTTAATCAATCGATAAAAAATAGTTTTTGGATTAAAAGAGCAAGCCCTCCGAATGGTTTCATATGAACGATCAAATAGTTACTGAATAAGTATAAATCCACCTTTATGTAAAACCCGGATAGATTACTCATATGGCTGTAAAAACATGTATATACTCCATTCATTATAACATTAGAAAAAAGAGGGTCATAGAAGCAGCAGTTCAGAACATTTTATTTTCAAGAAATTTAAAAAAAAATATGTATTACAATTTTTAAAAACTTTGAACATTAGGTAGTCTGAAAGAGCTGGGCAATTTTCCATTTTTTACGATACCTCGGGGTTGAGATGAGGCCAGCATTTTATAAATTCATCTTTTACTCCCAAGCCAAAATGGAACTAAAACTGAAACTATCTATCAGTTGTTTTGATAAATTCTAATTGTAAGTGTAATTAGTTAGACTATTGATGAAGACATTGGAAAAACTCGTGAAATGTCAATGGTTGAGGGTAGGCATGAGGGCTTAGAGTGTAATTTTTATAGGCCAATCGGGCCTGCACTGGAATCGCAATTTAGCAAAACTTAACAACATTAAGATAACAACTAAAACAAAACTATAAGAAAACAACAATAAAACAGTAATTACTCAATCACCGAAAATGACAAAACAACAAGAAAGGCAGTAGTATTCACAATGAATCAGATTCCCAGATTACATATTTTTACTATTATGAATAAAGCTGTACTGCTGAAACTTTTGAAGGGATAAGGCAACGTTTTAAATTTAGTAGAGTTATAGTGACATGAGAATCATGTCGAAACTATCTAACCCTGCTTCTTTAGGTTCTTTAAGATGAACACTTTTTATTGTAATAATTATTAAATGTTTTAAGTCACTCAAATACTCATAAATGTGTTTAATATATAGCTTAAAAGACTACGGTTAAGTATAGCAGCTGGTATTTAAGTGGATATGTAGCAAATTAGCCGTTAGTCCTTAGAGTAACATGATTGTTGACATTTTGTCACAAAGTATACCATAAAAAGAACCTTATTTTCATTCTGTCTAATGCTATTATGAATGGAGTATAGGTTAGGCTAAGCGCACTCTTCGTTTTGATTATATTTGAAATATTTTTATTGCTTTTTAATAATGAGTAAATCCTGACCAAGATGTAAGCAAAGCAGCTAAAGGTATAATAATAAATAGTCTCTATATATTTACACTTTAAATTAAATTAAATTTTTGCTAATATGTTTTGTAAAGAGGAAAATTGCTTGTTATTTCTTTAATTGTAGATTGAATAGGCTTATTAAAAATTCTTCCATATGCACGACATTGATAGCAGTTTGACAAAACTAGGACTTTTTGACTTTAGAAACGTAAAAAAATTAAGTTATTGGAAATAATCACTTGAGATTTTGAACTTTTCTCAATTGAAAAATAGGCTGTAATTTACTCGGTCTACTTCATGACTCGGCTAAAATTAATAAAAAACATCTAAGTATTAATGAACAAATTAGTATTCGTGATCTAAGACATGTGTATTATGCTAATATTTAATATTATTTAATTCCCAAATCAATCAATATACAGGTAATGAGATGGTCGATATTCCGTCGCTTGTACATACGTCATGATGTGAAAACCAGCCTGCATGTTCGTGCTAAATCGCAAAATTATCTGTTGGCCAAGCCAAGCGACCTTAACGCATCCGGACAAAAACGTGTTTATGTTAAATATTAACAATTCTTATTTATTAACAATATTCAAAATGAAGAAATTCTATGTTTTTTGTGTAAAATTGTAGTCCGACATTTTTTAATACATATACTTAACTGAATAGGTCCTATGTTCTATAAGTTTTTTTATCTTAAAACCAAGTTCAAGTCGGACTCGCAGACGACATGTTCCTTACTGAAAACGAGCAAAAAATCATGTTAGATGTATTTAATTTTGTTTATTTAATTTTGTTTTTAATATTTGTTGTTATAGCAGCAGCAGATATACATCGTCTGTGAAAATCTCAACTATCTGTCTATCACGGTTCATGGGATACAGCCTGGTGACAGATAGACAGATAGCGAAGTCTTTGTAAAAGGGTTCCTGTTGTAAAAAAGTGTAAACTTTAGCTACGGAACTCTAGAAACTAAAGTGAAAAGATCGATAGTTTTGTTATAACAAAAGAACCAGAGGAATTCTTCCGAATTTGCTATTATTAGACTAGTTATGCGACTCGAATAGGATTTTGTGACACGAGCCACTCGAGTCGTACTCGAGTTTTCGAGTCACTCGAGTGAAAATCTCACACGAGTTGCAAGTTTATCTAAGAACAATCGATTAATTTTTCTTCGTAATTGACTTTTCTATGAATTAGCCAGCATCACATACAGCTGCACGTCAGGTTTACCAAATATATGTCAAATTTCCGCAATTGATTTTGACTTCTATCCTCAATGTATAAGATTAAAATTAAGGTGAACATAGGCTATATTTTATCCCGAAAACAGCAAACAAAGGCATGAAAATGGGAGTGACACGTTGCCATAATAACCATTGCTACTGTTCAGTTTGATATTGTAATTATATCCGTCTTATAATATGAATCGATATCCACATAAACAGTTCCCTAGGGAGGACGCGGGCGAAGCCGTTGACGGAAAGCGAGTATAAAATAAAATACAAATTAAAAGAGTTTTAATATATTATTTATTTGAGTAAATAAACATGTGGCATAGATAAATAAAATAGAGAAAGTGGCAACAGAATCAACTCAATACGCCGAATTGACTCAATAACTCGAGTGCCTAGAGATTCGAATAAAATTTTTCACTCGAGTAAGTGACTGACAAATTCACTCGAGTGACTCGAGTAAAAACAGGGCTCGAGTCGTATCACTAAAGTGGATGATATATTATCATCAAAGCAAACAAAATAACGTATAAATATCTACATACCTATTTTTTAATAATTATTGTGCATTTTGCAACAATATAATTTTAAAAGTAAAAGTATTAGCTTATTAATTAATTTCTCCGTGGTTACAAGAAAAGTTAATTATGACAAAAGTATGTTAAGTGTGTTCTATGAATTAATATTGAGGCCTCGGTTTTTTAGAAAATAAACCATTCAAAAGCAAGTCGGATGGCGCAAAGGATACCGCATAAATATAAACCGTATAAATAATAATAACCACAGATTTTTATTGGTTTTCTTGTGATCAATAGATATAGAATTATTTCGGATTTTATTATTAAAATTTTATTTTTAAATAATATCAGTGGAATATTTTTGCTGTCATTAGGAGCTCGATGGTGCAGTTGTTAGAGCGTTCGGTCGGCGATTTGGAAGTTAAGCAACTTTCGCCAAGGTCGGTCGTAGGATGGGTGACCAAAAATTTCCTATCTCGAGCTCCCCTGCGCTTAGGGAGTCACTTTAAACCAAGTTAATATTTTAGTTTATATCACATTTCGAAATATCTAGCTTTGTTAATCCTAAATATGTAAATAAAATCATATTTTATATAAATAAACAATTCTAGCATCAGACGCTAATAAAAAATATATTAATGATAAAAAATTTAAAATTTTTCAGTT